GACGTTCCATGTTCCTACACAGACTTTTTCTTTTGGTGCAAGGAGGTTCAACATACTGAAGTTTCTGTAGCAATTTTTGTTTACAGGGTGGGGTTGCTAGCCTCACGCCTGAGAAAAGAATGATTACATTAAGTAAAAGTTTAGAGAGAAGCAACTTTTTGGGTTGCTCCCCTCAAAATCAGAAAATAACGGACAAACAATGAGAACAACATCAACAAAGGAAACAGTTCACAGAAAAAAGGGCAAAAAGCGACGACAACTATACAATAAGACAACATGCAATATAGTTCAGTACATTTAACTAAAATGATATCTTAACCATAAACTCACTGACTTGGAGCAACTTGAACATATAAATCCAACAATATATACAATTATAGATGTGTTTATGTTTAAAAATTCCACAAATCCAAACAGTGAGTTATGTGTATTATCTGTCAATAAGATTGTATTTTTTGGATTCAGTGTTCGAAAGGTTAATAATTGTGATAATTTCCGCAAACACTTTGCATAAAATTTTAGAGTAATAAGAGATTTTATTTATGACCAAAATGTAGCGTAATAGGCGAAAAGCGCGCTCAAGTCTTTCACATCAGCGAATTAGGGTGGCACAAAGTGCCATCTCTTGTCACTCACTCTAATATATCGCTTTCGTATTTGATACTGAGTCTTTCTACCTAAGGCCCACATTTCTGATGATATCTGACATAAGTCGTGTATAGTTTACGAAATACAATAACTTAGAAGCTGACGATGGCCTTGTTGAGAGTTTACTATACTACAAAACTTTTTGAACCTGCTACTTCACAGTCTTCTGGTCGTGACTAGCAGTCACTCAGCAATACTGGGTAGCCATTGATAGTTCAAAGCCGTTAATCGAGTGAGCGTACATTTTCTTCTTAGCAATATATCCATTTCATGCCACAACTTTCAGTCTTCAGCACATTAATTTAATTAGCTTGGGAAAGCTAGTTTGATCACTACTTGCGCTAAGTAACAGAGAATGACTATCATTCATTAAAGTTTCTCTGTTTATGTTCGATACGTTAATTAGTAGTACAGACGAAACAGAGTTTTTCATAACCGCTACAATATCAGTTTCTAACAAGCTTGACTAGTGCTTTGCTAGCTTCGTTTCCTTCAAGCTTTTAATCAAAAGACATTTCAGTCAATTTAATGACCAACCACTTGTATGAAATTATTTTCGAATCAGTTAACACGTAGCACGCATAACGTGAGAAGTTGATGGTGGAAGTGCAATTCGTCGGCATGGTAGTGGTCAAGTATATGAAAACTCATCTTTCAATGGAAAGCTGAGTCCTTACAAAGGAGAAGCAAGACGTTGAGTCTAATATAGCATCTTCACACAATAAAGTTGGGTTTATATATCACCCTACGTTTTATGTTGATTAGATCATTTGTAGTCCTGTGGACTGTTGCGTACCTTCCGTCTGAATCCAGTTTTCGTCAACTAAGGACCACTTTTATCCAGCCATTGTGCTCTTGGCATTTGGATGTCAGATGACCTGATAATCAAGGTCGATAGCTTTGTTTTTTAGCCAAACTTCGTCTAGAAGTAGGCTTGGATTCCACTTCCTCTGACATTGTTTCCGGAGTGTAAGATGCCATATAGAGTAAAAATTTGTTTTTTGAAAGTGCAATATTTGACATAACAGAAGATGTAGTCCTTGACCGACCACTTGTTTCAACCTTCTGTACAATATTAATATATATTTTCGGTTGTCTGTACATGAGGGACGCCAGTTTACAGGCACCGCCAACATTTTATATAATACACCCATGTAATGAGCATATTTACAACTATTCACTTATGCAAGATATATATATATATATACAACGTAATGAAAGAATATCAGTAAGGTTACTTTATACAGGTATTCCTTTAATTCTAACTGCCTCCTGACCGACCGTAGAGTTTATGGAAAATCCGTTGCAAAGTAGAAGCATTATAGCATGTGGTGATACTTCAACTATGAAGTTTCAAGCTTCGAATAGCTCCCAATGCATATGTGTGCAAATTAATTCGCAGTTGGTTTGGTGAAAAATGTATTTAGATCTGCTTATAACCACACCTTCATACAAGATAAGCTTTTTGGGGTACGCAAAACTTTTAATGCCTGCTTAATAGAAACTTGGAATGAGTGGTTTTGTGGGATACCAACGAAGCCATATCCGCTATCGCCGACATGCATGCGTAGAGTTCACCCATATATGAGTTCGTGCTTGTTGTGTATCGTGATTATTCATTCCATACATCCCGACACGGCAGATAAAACCACTTGTCAATGATGGTGAACATAGAGTGGGCGTTCAATGAACTTGTTTATTCGTACCAGTTTCATGTTTGTTGGAGGCACCGTTCCCTGTCGTGGATCAGACGTTTGCTCGCTGATAGAAGACCGGAACAATATGTTCAGAAGTATTAATATGCACTATGTTGACGATATTTATGAACTTCTTTAGTGTATTGATAGTGCACATTTGTGAATCACATGGCCAGGCAGCTATGCGATTAACTTGGTGTATCAGTTACTCAGTAGAACTTAGATTTAACGTCCGACTTTTAACAACTCTCGTGGTGGAATCGCGTTAGTTATCACGTACATAAAATATACCTCTGGGTCCCGAAGATTTGTCTTCTGATTGCTCTACATCTCAGGTCAGGATGCTTTCAAATGGAGCAACAGACAACTGTTACCCGCTCGCCATTCATTGAAAAAATTCACTGAAGGAAGAACACAAGTTCATGCGGAGAAACAAGGTTTATTGGGGAAAAATTATGGATCCAGGCCAGGACGGTACTATTTAACAAGTACGCTAATAGCTGGGTAACAGTGGACAGCAGATAGAGATAATAATCTTCCATTTCATCGACCTTAGCTAAGCATTTACAATGGCACCTCACTTAGTCTTCCTCAAAAGAACAAATGAGTTCGGCTTGAAAAACATTCTGCAAGATTGGTTTAATGACTACTTACTGGGTAGACGCCATATGGTGAGGGTAAGTGGAGCACACCATTTGGAAACGCGTTTTGAATGAGGTCCGACTGAGCGTTGTTCTAGGTCTACACTTATAAGTACTGAGTACTAAGAGATTGAGTAAAATATAGCTCTGTTATTCACTAACATTTTTGGGTGGTATCCGGAATCCGAGTGCTGTAGATAATAACAGTGATAATGCAGTCTTCGAAGATAGAGTAGGCAAGCTAACCGGATGGCCTTATAAAAGTAATAATTTATATTTCGTATAAACTAGTGTATACAAGAAATGCATGCCATTTTTACAAGAATGATCAGTTATGTAATAAATTACAATCGTAAAGTATCATAAATTAATACTTTGTCAAAAGTTTAAATTGTTCGATTGTTGTAGAAGCAACCAGAACGGGCTCTCATAAATTTTAAATTATAAACCCTCCACTATGGTCTCCATCAAACTTGAGCGACAACCCAAACTCCGTTCCATTGCCTGCTGATGGCTATGGTCAACCATTGAACAGCATATATTTGGGCAAGTGTGATGCATCACTTGATTAAAAGCTGTTTCAAGAGGAGGAGAACGTCCCGAGAAACAGCAAAATGGCAAAAAATGCAATCATGGATAATACATCGTTGGAAGTACATTAACATGGGTTCGAATCCCAGTGGGTGCGTAATGCCGATGATTCCCAAATTAGGATGAAACAGCAGCTGTCCAGTACTCCATGGTTTTCAATGGTTCTCTAACTGATATCAATCCGTGCTCAACTCGTAATGTTTAATTCTCAGACTGTCAAAAAATGTACTTTGCTGTCCTACAGATGGAAGCGGCTGAAATTGGAAGTTAATTCCAGAAGAAGTGTACCTCGACTACGGTTGCTACCAGACGTACTTCCTAGGGGGATTTGTAATTGTGTGACGTTAAAGATGAAAACAACTTTCATATTACCGTCAAAAATAATTTGATAACAACTATGTATTGTGATGGATCTACAGATTTTCTTATATTTCAGGCGTTCCTGAAGGCTCTAAAGTACTTATTGTAGGTTACATAAAACATGCTGTGCATCATCTTGATTACTGTAAGAAGTGTGATTGTCCATACCTGAGGAAGGAAGAAAGAATATCAGAAAGGATACAAAGAAAAGATAGAAGGTTAGTCAAAGGTGTCTAGCACCTTTTTTATGAGGTGAGGTTAGAAGTTCTAAATGTGTCCTCATTATTATTCAGAAAAGAGTGACAAACTATTTCTCGTCTTTTTCGAGTGCCGAATTAAGTACAGAACTTCCTGACCCTTCCTATCCCCCATGACCCTTATAAGGGAAAACATTAAGATAGATCCCAAACTGTAGCTGGACAAAACACAGATGGAGTTGAGATCCCCGAATAGGGTGATCAAAGCCTGGAACTAGTTAACCAGTTTCAGCTCCATCTGTGGAATATATATACACATATACATATTGCAGGGGTTAGATAGTGAGTTTGAATATGATATTCTAAGTTTTTGACCGTCGAAACTAGCAACAGATGTTGTGGTTGTTCTATACAAATTATTAATATTCACGGTAGAAGTGAATTGGGAAGACACTACAAAAACCCTTTGGACTTGACACCATAGTGACAAGGGCGAAGATAATTGAGATTGTTGCAAATAAAGTTACTTCGATAAGGAAGACAGGGAATATCTCAAAATCCATCTGCTGAATTTGCTTTTCTGATTGGTTCACCTTTGGGGGAAGTTCGATTATTATAAGCAATTCTAGGCATTATTTCAATGTAACATTTGTGATCGCGAAAAAAGCACCTTTTCTTAAATGTCACACCTGTGTAATACTAGCTGGATTTGATATGAATTCAGATATATAAATAATACGTGCTTGAACCATATAACCAAGAACGTTGATATGCAGCATGTGATTAACTTCCCATAGAGTGAAAATCCCCCTTCAACAATTGAAACGCCTTTGTTTTAATTTATAACTAAGTAAAGTATTACATGGTAACGTATTCTGTTACGGAAATGAAATGGTGAAAAAGGTTCGGAAGAAAAATTCCAAAAATAAGGGTCAAAAGAACAAGTTAGAACACCTTTCACGCTTATGTTCCTATCTAGAGATGAAAATAAGTTGAAAAAGCTGGAGGATGTTAGGAGAATAGCAGCAGTGAATGCCAAGTTGTGGGAAACTCGAGTTGAAATTGCTGAAAAAGTTAAACAAAAGGTTCAGTAAGCTATTGTTTTGTGATAATGTGGAAAGAGAGCATGCAAAGAAATTGGCTGATGACAATGCAAAATTGCATGACACATTACGACAATCAGAGAAGGAGACTATGGAAGTTTTTTCCTACCTAAAAAAAGAAAATGATGCTAAAGACAAAGAAGTAATTGGGGCTTTGACATAATTCAACTTTAAGCTTAATGAATTACGGGAAAAAATTGAACATTTGATTGCTTCTCATGAAAACGATAAGGAACTGCTTGTAATTTCATATATATTTCAGAGACTGATTCTGAAAATTTTTCAGTTAAATGACATTAAGGATCAAATGCTTTGCATCAACACTGAAAAGGAAAAGGAGTGTAAAAGGGTTAAAGAACTTGAAAATGAAATACAGCAGCTAGGCGAATACAAAAGTGACAGAATTCGTACTGAGAATGAAATTAAGCAAGTACGGTAGTGAAGAAAACGTTTTAAAATCCCTAATTTTCTCCAGTTACGAAGTATGGTTGAGAGTCAAAAGTCTCTGATTGAACAGATGGAGTTGAAATTCTTCGAAGAAAAGGTAAATAAGCTTAAAGATTTTGAATATCTTAGTTTTAGCTCAGAATTAGAGAAACTAGCATTAAAGATATTAAAGCTCTTGCAGAGGAAGCCCACAGAACTTCCATTAAGTTGTCCTTACCTCATATGGAACTAAATTTTTGATAAGAAATTTAGATGATTCCGCAAAACTGTCGTTTGTTCAAAATGTAGCTATGAGAAGATTCATTTCACATTTGAAAAGTCAGCTAGTATCAGCGGAAGATTTATCAAAATCCTTAAACACTGAAAATAAGAAATTGACTTTGGAGAAAGAAACTTTGGAATGCTCTCTTCTAGCGAAAACTTCAGAGTGCAGAAGGTTAAATGAACTCATTCGCGAGGTAAGGGTTATTAAAAAGACTGGAAACTTGTGTATTTCCTAATATATTTTCTTTTTATTCATTGAATATAAAGATGGATTTTGAAAGTATGAAAGCACTAATACACGTGCAGAAATGTTATCGGTAGACATTTTAGTGTCAGGAATGCCTGTATGTTCCCAAACTGGTGACAATACACACGGTATACGTATGGTAGTATTCCTTAATGAGTAAAAAGCTAAAACGTATCCATTCAGCTGCGTGAAACGGAATTTAAGACTAAAGACTGCACATCATTAGATAAAGAAAACACTTCCGGATGAGTGAGTTTGAATATCATGTAGTCTCTTTGCTTTCTAAATTCTCAGAGCATGAAAAAAGTCATAATAGAATTGCAGGCGTCGTCTTTGGCTCGGCTTTACAGGGACATTCGCCGGAGATCTAAGGAACTATTAAAGCACAAAGTTACGGATTTCCACCAGTGCTTCAAAATTTACTTTTTAACTGCTCTTAAAGATGACTACATACTTCTTGTGTAATAATGGGTGTGATAAGTACATCGGTTACAAAGTGAAAGTTTTACGTAATATCACTATGAATGTTGTAACAAGTCGGTCGAAACTCCACTAACTTTAATTGATTCATCCATGTCCAAGTTGTTGTTGGTTGTTGTTTGTGGCATTTAGAAGTCATGTCTTACAAAAACTTTTAATCTCTCTTGAATTTTTTCTGGATGATTTGTAGTAAAATTAGGCTGGGTTATAGTGTGCACCTCAGCAACTATGAAAATCTAGTTACTCTACCCTTCTGGTCGACTAGCATGCTCACACTAACAGCGGTGTTTACCTTCCACAGTTTTGTTCCGATAACTGCTTGTCGCTGACTGGAGCTGGTTTCATATATGTAAGAAGAGAAGTTGTGCAAGTTTGGTGACTTCTAAAGCCCAACCAATAATGCACATGTCTAACTAAAAGTTATCACTGGAGACTATTAGTGGAAGATCGAAACTCCTTCCAAAACATTTACTTACCTGGAATCCAACAAAGCACTAGCTTGAAAATATATGTGCCTGAACAGGCACAGAAAACAAACGTCTGTTAAGCCTTCATGCTTTTATTATCTTGATGAGGACGTGAGATCTGTATTTATACAAAAGATAAATGAGCACATATTTGAGCGCGATAAAAATATTTGCATCATGTTTAGTCTGCTTCAGAAATAGTTTCAAAGGCTACTGATAGCATCCAGCTGAAGGTTGGCAAAAGCAAGTGGGTTTCTACGGTCTCATCCCTGTAGGCTGTGAATATGATGAAATGCTGAAGATGATAAGAAGAAAGTTGAGTGAAAGTTTACCTAAAGGTCACATACAGTAGTGTGCGACAAAGAGGAAGAATTGGTACCAGAAGACGCTCAGGAACTGTTTGCAGTCAATAAGATTCCGTTGTCATTCGAAGACTAAATGGAGCTGGAGAAAAACAGACCCAAATAAGTCCAGCCGACTGATAGTCCTGACAAGGGTATACCAATCAAACAAATTACCATTCAAAAGACTCTAGAACGTAGACATGCTTACCGTCATCCGACATTTACCAAATTCCACGACCTACTGTCTCTATCTAGAATTACTCTGTCTATGCTTATATGAGAAGAAAATGCCACAAGAGTTTACGTTACTAATCAGAGAAGCTCAACTAAAATCGTGCAGTCAAGTTAAAGCTTATATAGAGTTGTCATCTGAAATGAAGAAAACGATTGGTGTTCATCAGAGATATCCGTGACCACTACTTTTACTTGAAAAGGTGTACCAATCGTAGTGGATCGATTACTGGAGAAATCTTAAAGCAAATACTAAAGACCTTTTTAGTAGCCAACAACTTGCATTGTCTATGAAGCAGTCGTGATATCTGGATAGCAATCAAACAGCACTTGTATTTGGTGGCTGGAGAAGAAAAGTGTGAAAACATTAGTGGTCTTCACCATACATGCCTGCATTCAGTATCTTGTGATAGGGGGAGCTTATTGGTCACTGATGATCAAGCATAGACTGTAATGAGGAAGAGTTAATTGATGACACTCTGTCCTTAAACAGAGCCACCGCCTTCCTGAACAAGCAATGTTAGTCAAAATAGGCGTAGCCCGGAAAAATTAAGGGGTAGTCGTACTAAAACATAGCACTGTGTATTAGGTCATCCACTGTTAGTTTGAACAGCGCAGAGACTGGTACTGATAGCTAGGCTAGCATCCTGAGAATACTGTTGGTAGTACAGCACAACACTGTTAGTAATGACGAAGAAATATTTTCGCTATCTTTTTTTCCTAATTTTGAAAATCTTTACTAACCTTTATCTATTCAATGTCTTTTGCCTACATTTTGACCTACTGTACTTTCGTTAAATCTCCCTCATCTGCATGTATACATGCTTATCAGAAGTATGCCAACTTGAACTGTTCCGTTTTTACGCGAAGTCCCACATTTTTATTTGAATATGTTACCGGTACCTACTACTAATAATCTTAGGAAATTACTAAACATCACAGTTTTATTGATTTTTATTGATTTACAGCTTGATTCCACATTGTATTTTCGGTACAAGTATGGAATTTTCAGCAAGGATATCGGTAGCCCAAATTTTGCAGGCCGACCATAGATATCAGATGTGCGTCGGTGCGGGCTCGAACCCAGGACCATGCGCATGGTCGGCGAGAGTCCTAACCACTGTGCCACCGACGCACATAATTGTGCATAATTGTGATGAATATGAGTAGCTTTCTGCTACACAATTTCTGGGTTTTAGTGACAGTTGACAATCCGTTGAGAATCCCCATTCTTAATTCAGGAAAGCAGAAGAAACTCCTCTGAATTCTTTCTAGATATGTAAATGTTTCCCACAGACATCTCGTTCAAGACAATTTTTTTGGTTGTCTAATAACTTTATTTTATTACTTATCCACTTCATTCTAATATACATCCTTCTTTTTCGGAAAAAAATATTACTAGAAAGACAAAAAGATTGAAATCTGTGAAAATCAAATACAAAACTTAAATGATACTGTATTAAAACAAAAGAGTGAATTACAAGGACAAGTTGTTTTACACACCTCTGAATCAGCTAAATCAATAGAAAGGTTGACTAAAACACTAGAATTAGAACGTAAACGTATGAATCGTATCTGTGGATTGGCTAACAAAATTTTACAACAAAGAAGTGAAATAGAAGAATTCTTTATCAGTTCACTCGACTATGTTCGTGATGAGATTAAAGTGAATCAGTAAGTTTTAAGTGTCACATTTTTTTCTTTTTTTCAAGGTGTTATTCAGGGTATTTCATTTTACACTGAACATTACCGTGTTTGTTTCATTTCTGCCAAAAGTGAAACTGTAGACGTGGAAAATTTGGACTTTAGTTTACTATCTGGTGCGTATTACAAGTTAAACAGATTTATAGAACTTCTATTGGTAGCTAATGTTAGGCGTCTAGTCTTTTGTTTGGTGCAGACTGAATTCTGTCAGTCGGGTTTGCAATGTGGCCATCATGCCAGGTTGCTTGCCATTTTGGTGCACACTGTATTGTTGTTATTAGACGACCTGAGGCAGTCAGCAGGAAGCCTTAAACCTAGGTTTCGTGCGTGTCAGCACTCGTCAACTAGGTGTGTCTGAAATCTTGAAGGGACTCATTTCCCTTCCGAGATTCGAACGCGGGTCATCCAATGCTGCAGTCAGAAATATTACCACTGTTATTCGGCTTCGCTATAGACCTCCTGTAGGACTGTGCTAGATCTTTTCATTAGAAACAGGGTAGCAGCTAATTTTGGGCATCTAGTCCCTCATGTGGTGCAGACTGAATTCTATGAGTTAATTTTGCATTGGGACATTTGGTGACTCGGATTCGAATCTCAGAAGGGATGTGAGTCCCTTAAAAATGCGGAAATGCCTTGTTGAAGAGTGCCAACAAGCACGAAACTTAGTTCTTAGGCTTTCTGCTGAATGCATCCAACCATCTAACAAATATGTAGAAAATATTGTTCACTGTGATGGATTGAAATTCCCATAGCCCAGTGATTCACTTAGGCCTCAACAGAATGCAGAGGGATAAATTTATTCTAATTAACGTCGGTGTTTTCATTTCAAGGAATAATTTCTACGGTTTATTTTAGTTTACCATATTCGGTCGACAGAACTGTAAAAATTAGCAATATGTAGATTTGTTCACTATGATGTGGTAGATGAATTTTTCGTCTTATTTAAGAACTCTTCAGCATATTTAGAGACTATAAGATTCTATTTTAGGGCCTAGATGGTAATTTATATATCTCTGCTTGGACTTGACTTCGGTTTGTACCTCCGGGGAGTCCTGAATTAGGACGAAACAATTACTGGTAGTTTTCGTGTTTCGGGGGTTTTTCAATACGATTAAGATAATGCTTCAATGTGAATACATTTGTGTTGGTCCAGTAGATTCTGAGGCACAGGGGATTAAATCTGTAACTGTCGGTAACTGGTTTTTACATTTACCTCATTTATGCATTCTACGTTTATCTATATGATTCAAAACAAAAGTCGAGACGTTCTGATGTGTTGTACCTTGTGCTACTTATAAGAATTATCAGTAGTATATATATATAAAGAGATATCGGCATAAAACATCAGATTGCAGGGAGATTGATTTGATTTCAGAGAAAGCAGATAATATAGCGTTGCGCAGATACATGGGAGGCGTGAAAGGAACACAGAGAAACGCAGTATAAAGGCTAGAAGTTGCAAAACACGGGAGATTTGTGCAAATGGTTCTTTAATGACAAGGTTTACATAATTTGGCTATGTAGAGATACCTGCGGATAGGAATTTACCTTACCGAGTCTTTCGTCTTACAGCGCTACAGGATGGACACTTCAGGCTGACATGATATGCTGTAACGAACTTGTCTATGAAATCGATTGTCTGATGCCTGACATCTGAGATGTTCCTGTGGTAGCGTTACGGAGTTTCTATGTATCTTCTATCTTCACCACCCATATTTCGAAGTCATAATTTAGCACACAAGACATGTTAAGTGGATATTTCACCCACATCATATGTAGTGCGGTCTGATGCAGGTTCAATGATTCCATTTTCTACTAGGCTGTTAGGATTGGCACAACCATTCGGGACACATGAAACTGCCCTCATTCAACTCAGTCTCCAGTTAATAACTGTGAACTGTAAAATAACAATTCGCATTTAGAAGCATGATAAATCTGTCTAACATACTCTTAAATTGTCTCATGGATTATCCAAGAGACTATGTGCTATCAGTGCGTTTTTGCCGAACAGGACGATTTCATCTTCGTACATGAAGTAAAATAAGGTATCTAATAAGTTGATAATGGAGAAAGCATTAAAGATTTCAGTTTCATGAATACACTTTCAACGGTTTATGCAATACGTCGGTGAATAGCGACTGTTTAATTCTGAAATGAAGATTTCATATCATTTCCCTATCTAACTTTTCATTTCAGGATACTGTTCATCACTTCGGCATGGAAATAAGTTTGTTCTTCAACAGTATGTGTTGTAGTTCTTTGAATTCGTTTATTCTCCACTGTTTATGTCCAATTTATCACTTCACTATACATTTTCGTGCACAATGGTTTATCCTTCATTATTATTCACCAGAAATTATGTACTGATTACACCCATGCATAGCCGTAATATCGTTGTATAATTTTAAGCCTTACAAAGTTAGCTAACTGTTTGTTTTGGTTGTACATAATACTGTTTTACAGGAATAATTACATTCATGATTCAAAGTCTGCTTATGAAGCTAGTTTACGCTTAGCTCACTGTGGTAAATCAACCTATCCACCTGTAAGAACATTTCAAAATACAATGTCAAGTACAAATAATGTATACGATGATTTTAAGATTGCACATCAAATGTAAGTGTAGACTTAATTCAAATTTTAGGTACTGAACAATTTAAATTTGTTTGACTTAAGAACTTATTATAAAAGCGCCATTGTGGATCTCGTGTTGTTATTCATTATTGAAGATATGAAATAAAGGTTCGGGGAAAAAGACAAAGTTGATAAGCAGCTTAGATACATTTTCAATAGTTGATTTGTACGCATGTGACTGGTTTAAAGTTAGATTAAACTGTCCATCGACAACAAACAGAGAACCATTTTAAATTAGGAGCTAGTGAATTGCTATTTCGCGTCATTTTTTGCCATGAAGTGTGAGGGGCTCGAATTGATGGGACTTTTGATTGTATTCCAATGATTTCATAACGGGAAGATTGGAGATCAAAATTCAGATGACATCAAGACTGCGTACTGCTGAGGGCATCGAAAGGTGAGACGAAACAGCTATTCAGGATGGCCTAGTTTTCACAGATTCTATAATTAATGTCAATTCATTGTGGAATTTGGCTTGAACTCACGTAAACGTTTGATTTTTATTATTATTATTAAATCCTTTAATTCCTAGAGGAACATAGGGGTTCAGCTGCGCACCTCCATTGCCTTCTGTTTTCTGCCAACTTTTTAACTCCGCTCCAAGTCTGCTCACATGCTATCATCTCCTCTTCACATGACCTCCTCCAAGTCACCCTTGCACTGACGACCAACTCGCCGCCCGCTTCCCTTTCGGGTTTCACTCGAGCAATGGCTTGTCTAGTGATGTCACTTAATGGTTTCCTCAGAGCATGGCCAGCCAATCCATCTCCATTTCTTCATGCATATTTGTTTCACAATCGATTCCTGGTTGGTTCGCTCATTGCCAGAGATTCCCGTTGCTGATCTTTTCTGGCTGGCCATCTGATCTTGAGTGGTATTGAGCGAAGACAACTGTTAATGAAGGTTTGAAGTTTGTGTGAGATGCTCTTTATGACGCGCCAAGTTTCTGATCCGTATAGTGAGTAGCACTGACTTCACATTGGAGTTGAAAATCCGGATCTTATTTTTGATTCTGAGTGCTATTGACCTCCACACAGACTTCAGAGTAATGAAAGCCTGTCTTGCTTTTCCGATTATGGCTTTGATATCCTCGTCAGTTCCGTCGGCCTGTAGTTGAGACGATGCTTCCTAGGTAGGTAGGTAGGTGAAGGAGGTTGTTTCTTTCAGGTTCCTCCCATTTATGCTGTCCGATTGTTTTCTGTTGTTGTTGTTTCTGTTGGTCAGGAATCTTCATCACATCTGTTTTATCTATGTTCACTTGAAGTCCTATCTTTGATGCTTCTTCTATCGCCAACTTGTTGCTTTTCACTTGCATATCTTCCATTTTGTGGGAAATCAGACATATATCATCGGCGAAGTCCAGATCCTCCAAGTCTGTTTTTGTGTGAGTCCATTTTATGCCTGTTCCCTCGTTGGTTGCCGTTGTCTGTCGCATCATCCAATCTACTGCAATCAGGAAGATCATTGGTGATAGTAGGCAGCCTTGTCGCACTCCCGTCCTCACTTTGAAGGCTTCCGTAAGTTTCTCATTGTGGATTACTTGGCATGCAGCATTGTCGTATAACTGTTGGATGAGATGTATAATTGTCGGTGGGACCCCGTAGTAGCGAAGTAGTTTCCAAATGACCTCTCGATCGACGCTGTCGAAGGCCTTTTCAAAGTCGATGAAGTTGAGATAGAGAGGTGACTGCCATTCCAAGCTTTGTTCAATGATGATCCGTAGAGTGGCGATTTCATCAATACATGACTTGTTTCTCCTGAATCTGGCCTGTTTCAGTCGAAGTTTTTCATCCAGGTTGGTGTGTTCGATTCTCTCGAGCATGATGCGGCTTAGTATTTTGCTTGGGATGGACAGGAGCATAATTCCACGCCAGTCTTTGAATTGACTTATGATGGTGATATTTAAATCCGAAATAAATTGTAGAATGATAACCCTAAATCATGGTTACCTTGTGTATATTTAGGAAACATCTTTCTGGTGGAAGCATGATCAATAATGAAATCTAAGAGGAAGTATCTAGTTCAAAATAGATTTTTGCTTAGTTAAGCTTTGTCAATCAGCTGATTGTTCCCGGTCTTTTAATTAACAGTTACGCAGAAAAAAGTGACTCTCATAAATTAAAAACTTGATGGACCCTGATAGATTAACGTAGAACTTTGAACCGAACTGTATTGGGACTCATTAACACTCTTGGAAACACAATTCCGATAAAGAGAAGAACAAAAACAGACTGGTACTAAAGCATGGAGGACTTGTCTGTTAGTTGTAGAACAAATACTTCTAAAGAAGCTTCATGCTAGGTAATGCTTGTTTTTAAGATATACTTGAAACTTAAAGACAGCTGGCTTGTCCCCAAACATTTGAGTCCATTCGTCCATCGGTACACTGAAACATGTTACCAGTATGGTGTGCATAATTTTTTATAAAACTGGATGAGGTTTTCTTTTATTCCTGAGTATTTATTTTGGTAGGGATTAAGTTTGATTGGTTAGAGGATTTCATCATGCGCTGACATCAGTTAGAGAACCACTGGAGAACCTGGGAGTACTAGACAGCTGTTTCGTTTTAGTTTAGATGCGTACTGTGAAGAGTACCAAGCTAGGCCGAAACGGCTGCCATGACTCCCAGGTTTTCTCTTATTCCTTACATTTGCACTGGGACACAGGGACTCAAGGCAGAGCTCTAGAGTTCCGGCAGCCGTGATGTTTATTTTTACGGCATGTGGTGGCTAGCCTCATGTCCAAACTTCCCTCTTTACCACTCTAATTACTGGCTTAGAGAGGTAAAGGAATGCGTTGGCCGGGGATCGAATCCCGAACCACCTGCGTGGTTGGCGCGCATTCTACCACTGTGCCACTGACGCGCACCAGATGAAGTAGTGAGCAGTAGTCGGTCCCATGTCTCTTGTTTATCCTTTGAGTTTTATTCACTTCCCTATCCAGTCATAGTGATAGTTGTAATTTTGTTCCTTCATAGACAAGATTTCAGTTTGGTAAATCACACAGTGTTATGCAGTAATATTAACTGATAACCTCTTAACTCTTTAACCTTTCTTTCTACCTTACAGTCCTAGATCAGCCCGTTTAACGATTCGTGATCTTACCTGGGAGCAGAAAGAACGTGTACTTTCTATATTATTTGAAAAAATTAATAATAATAACAAAATGAAAACAAAAGGCATAAATAAAACGCAAAGGAATAGTTCAGATACGTCAAACTGTCAAAATACAGAAAACTCAAAGTTATCCATCTCAAGGGAATCAACCCATTTGATTGATTCAAAACGGTTAACAAAGCGAATTCTTGATTCTATCAGAAGTAATAATGAATCAGTTTTACGTACATCCAGCTGGAGAGAAGTTGACGAAGCGGTAGAAGAAGACAGAGAAGAGAAGGAAAGGAATAGTAGTTGTGAAGCACTTCAATGGCAAGTGAATGGAAATTCAACTGACCTATCTGAGGATAATAATCCGGGCTTAATCCCCTCTAAGGATTTACTCAGCTTACAGTCTAACTTAGGAAATATTGAAGAGAAGTCATCACGAAAGAAGGTGCTTTCTGCACCAGATTTTAGAGGTGAACAGACAAGTACACCATATCCATCGCCACAAACCAAAGATGATATAACACATTTGGAAAGTGCACACTCTAACTAATGCTGAGTATTGCAGTGATTAGCGGAGATAAATCAAATTTGATAATTTATGCACCTGTTCTTATCAAAAGAAAACAATCATGTTCATTGTATGAGTGTACATACTTTGATATGTTTTTAGAAGTACACAATAGAGTATTACTTGAAGAAAGCTCATTTTCTTTTTTTACCAATTTTAGAATAGATTGTTAATCTAGGATAGAAGTTTACTTTGTGTAATGGTAGGCTACATAAAGACATATTTATTATTTATTACTATTCCCTTGAGTTCCAGGTGAAACATAGGGCTTCAACAACATATCACCATTTTGCTGTCTCTCCTGCTGTTCTCTTCATCTGGAGCCGTAATCACCCATAATATCTCATTTCCTCCTCCTACAATTTTCTCCATGTCACCCTTGCATTGACGACCAAGTCAGCATTTCCGACTCGGGTTTTGCTCACCAGATGACCTGGCACGCGATGTCATTCAACGGTCTCCTCAGTGAGTGCCTGATGAATCTCCATTTTCTTCTACATATATATTTTGAAAGATAGGCTTCTTGTCAGCTTTTTCCACATAATTTCTTGTTGCTTATTCTTTCTGGCTGGTGAATTGGTTTTCAGTGTGTGCTAGATAAGGGGAGTAGATGTTGATATAAGTCTGCAGTAGCCTGTTGGAGATGCCTTCCATAACACGCCAAGTTTCTTACCCACGTATAAGAACTAATCTAGCTCTGGCTTTGAAAATTAGAATCTTGCTTTTTATGCTGAGTGTAGAAGATTTTCAAACTGGTTTCAAGTTGATGAAGATGTATTTTGCCTTTCCAGTTCTGACTGAATTTGACATCTTCACCCGTCCCGCCTGTGGTTGAAAAAAAATGCTTTCCAGAAAAGTGAAGGAAGTGACTGCTTTCAAGTTTCTCCCGTCGATAGTGACTGGTACTGGATGTTGCTGTTTGGTTGGTTATCTTCATCATCTCTGTCTTCTCTAGGTCCACCTGCCGTCGTGTCTTCGCTGCCCACCTGTTCAGCCATTTTGTTGGTTTTCACTTGCAAGTCTTCGAGTCTGTGCGACAAAAGGACTTAGACTTTTTAACTATTAATTAACTACCGTAATGAGTCTAGTCCTTCGTTTGGTGAAGACTGAATACTATCAGTCGGGTTTGCAATGTTGCCAGCATGCAAAGTGACCCACCGTCATAGTGTACTCTAAAATGTTGTTATGAGATGGTTGAAGGCCTGAAAAACACTAGCAAAATTTCGTTTTGTATAACTAATTCACTGTAGTCTATTGATTAGCTACATATTTTCCCTTGTATTTCTAACAGCATGTATGTAAACTTATTTATGGAGTATTCATTTGATCAGTTATAACGCGATTTGATGAATACATTAAATCATGCTTTATTAGCATATTTGTTACTTGTTTTAAATTTTTATCAGGAAATAAATGCTTACAATATCTGTAGACATTGGCAACAACGATAACAACGACACCATAGTGCTCGAAAATAAGAAGGACTACTTTATTGAAGGTCGGTAACTTGCTGGATTCTCACTCGTTGTTATTATTTCTAAAAAGTTAGTCAATAAGTATACATACTACTCATGAGTAAAATGATAAAAATAGAATAATTAAACATATAAGACTAATTTTAAAAAGATGGTAAGATGTGATACCTTCAGGTATTCGTATACTGACATTGAATGTATAATTTCATAGACTACAGTGAGTTATGTCGATGGTATCGGCAAGTTTTACTTTACAGTAGAAGCATAAGTGGATGTTAACAGGGTAGTAGAGTAAGAATTTCACAAAGATTTAGTGTATTTGATTCAGAATGACAGCTACTTGTAATCATAGATTCTATTGTTTCATGCAGATATACTGTAACAATAGAAGGCAAGACACAGGAGCCAAGGTATATTTTTCATTAATGAAAACGCTGTTTATACACCTACAGTTTATATTTGTTAACCAATCACCGAGCGTGTGATTTTAGTTTACATCAAAAAACAGGAAATAGAATGTTCAGATAAACATAGTATTCTGTTGTTAACGCAATATATAACTGTGGGAAAGTTTTGTGTCTCTGTCATCTGATGGAATTTTCAAATATATTTATGTAGTATTCTGTCGCTAATGCCGTATTGAACTATGGGAATATGTAAGACTAACATTCCGTTGGCAGACATTGTCTGTATCACACCACCACAACATATGTGAATAATTCGCAAATTTTACTGTGAATAATGTGAGATTATTTGGCAGATATTCAGTTTTCTTGAAGCAGATACAACCTATGATAACAACAAGAGCATAAAATGAATGGAGTTCACATAAGTTATATATTTCCAAAGTAAGTTCACTTTTGTTGCTATTAGATGGTTGAAGGCGATCGGCAGGGAGCCTTGAATCTAGGTTTCGCTCCAGTTGATACTCATCCATCAGTAAGGCGTATTTGCGACCTCGAAGGAACTCATGTTCGCTTTTAACTGTTTGAAAACATTTTGGCACTGGATATATGCTATTCACTATGATAACATTTTTTGTATTTCCCAATGAATGGAAAACGAAACGGTATTGCATCATGAGCTGACATTGGTTAGAGAATCATTAGAAAGCCAAATGATAGTAGTGGACAGCTGTTTCGTCCTAGTTTGGGACTCTTCATCAGTACGCACCCACCGGGGTTCGAACCCAGGACCTTCTGGTTTCAAAGCGAGCTCGTATACCATTAAGCCACTGAGACCTGATCTACTAGGGACTTGCCCTATTCAGGTAGGTAGTTACCTGGGGTTCTAGTGGGAAGACGTGACAAGTAGGATGCAGCAGGTTGGGTGTGAGGACAAATACTCGCCGAAGACATTGGCTAGTGGTCGCGCTATATTGTGAATTGGCAGAAGTTACAATTCAAGGACCATTGGATCGGGTCCGAGTGGCTCAATGGTATACGAGCTCGCCTTGTAACCAGGAGGTCCTGGGTTCAAATCCCAGTGGGTGCGTACTGATGAAGGGTCTCAGACTAGGACGGAGCAGCTGTACAGTACTCTCAGCTTGTTTTTCAGTGGTTCTTTAATAAATGTCAGCTCATGATGAAATCGTGTAACCAATCAATTCCCTACAAACCAACACTTGAAAATGGTATTGTTTTTATTGATGTTTCGCTATTTAATGCTAATAGCTTTATCAGAGTAGTATTATTGAACCAGAATTTACAAAATCTCAGCTTATACATAACAACTTAATCGTCATTCTTCTGCATGAAGTAATTTTATGCAGTCAGTTCGGTCAATTTGTAAAGATAACAAAACCAGGTGTAGATTATTGGATTGGATAAATTTTAAGCGCAAAAAATTATCAAAACTTAAATTGCTTATGACATTTGTGTTGATTTTGTCACTTCATGGGTGTGTGTGTGTGGTGTCTCAGACAGGTTAAATGCTGTTTTAGTTCATCATTCCTATTCAGACAGTTTGGGTTCCATTTGATATGAAGTGCTTCTGATTATAAGAGACGTTTTTTTGTGATTTCTCAAAATTTTCTGGATTATTTCAATATTGTCGAAATCAATCAATTTTTTGGCCTGATTCTACAGCGTGTAGACCTATGGCTGATGATTTTTCAGCTTTTCTATTTCAAATGGATTTCTCAGTGGTCGAGCAGATGTTCTTCAGGAATCCGCATAACTTTTTCAGTAAAAAGCCTGTGCATTTTAATAATTTTAATAATACTACACAGAATTAGTTTCAACATACATGGAATGAAGCAATACAAACATTATTAGAAACATTCAATTGAGAACACAATATTCATTGAAGAGACTCTTTTCAAAGTTTTTATTATCAAGTTGTACAATCGTATATGCTTGGTATTTATGAAAATATGTCCTGTGAGGAAATATAAACAAAGGTATTGGTTGGAGAACTTCATCATGAGCTGACATCAATTAGAGAACCACTGAAAAACAAGCTGAGAGTACTGTACAGCTGTTTCATCCTAGTTTGGACTCTTCATCAGTGCTCACTCACATGGTGGGGTTCGAACCCAGAACCTTCTGGTTACAAGGCGAGCTCGTAAACCATTTACTCACTGGGGTCCGACCCTGTGCCCCTTGAATTCTAACCTTTGTACGTAAATGGCGTCCGGTACTTCCAGGTTTTCCAATGACTCTCTAACTGATGTCAGCTTGAAGTGAAATCCTCCAATCAATCAAACGAAATCCCTACAAAACCAGTACTTGAAAAAAGGTATGAATGCTTAAAACAATAATAAAAACAGTGGGAAATGAGATAAAAATGTTTGTGATTATAATCCTAGTTGAATTTCAATTGAAAAAACAAATAATATTATATACAGAATACTTCCCAGAATGCATAGATCTTGGAAACGGATGTAGAACTAATAGGATTAACATGATTAGTAGTCAGTTACAAGATTACGTGACAGGTTGAGAGATTTAATAAGATAGAATTTAACATTGCTGAATATTTATCGACCTAAAATAATAAGCGGGATAAGTGAAATAATCCCAGAAACAGTTCAGAATGAGAATAATAATCATAATCGTAGTATTAAGGGAAGAATACACAGATTAAATCAACAAAAAACAGGCGAAGTAGAAATAAGGACTGTCTCTACCTTAAAGATACTGGCTTGAATTCATGAATAGCGAAAGCCTCCACTGTCTTCAGAAGTTGAAAAAAAGAAAGCAGGGCAAGTTAGTATGACCTTAAAATTATGGTCAAGCTTGACGGCATTTGGTCAATTGTCAGAGAATGGAGGTTTGCAAACTCTTCCTTTCTACTTTGTAATGAGCCCTTGTATCTGTGTGGAAAGTATTCTGTGGCTACGGCCCTTATGTCCCATTCTTCAGAAGGGTAAATGAACTGATAGGTGCACAAGAAGGAGGCCAGGTGTTGTGGCTTATCGTTTACAGAAAAGGAGAACGGTTTCACTGCTGGTGTAGGTCACTTGAAGTTTTGGTGTAAATAATGTCTCACTGACAATGCCTGAGCACAAGTGAAGTCTGATTACAATTTGAATCTCAAATTTATGAAGATGGTTTCCTTTGGAACTAAACTTTATTGGAAATGTTTCGGCTGGACAATAAAAAGGATGTTGGTGTAAGTGAATATGATTCTCTTTCAAGC